CTTCCAGAAAAGTCACCACACTGAAAACAGTTGTTTCTACATAGCATGATTCAAAGTAGCATTCAAAATGAAGGCAGCATCCATGATCACAATGAAAAAAAACCCTCTAATCTCAGAAAATAATTAAGAATGAAAATAATGTATAAATCAACCCATTGTAGTTTTGGGCTTATTTGTAGGTTGGGCTTTTTTTTCCTCCTTTGGTAGGAGTAGAGCTCCATCGATAGTTCTGAAAGGCCCAAACGTCTTTACAAGTTTCTTCTCTAAAATTTTTATACTACTGACTTCTCTCAGCCAGACAGCACTGTCACTTATTGACACCAAGAATTAAAACTATTGCAGCTCTCTTTCACATGCCTAGTACTGTTTCACTGACATTGTGAGGTCATAAAAAACAACAACACAACAACCTGTTTTGTCTTAAGAGACTCGATATAACCACAGAGACAAAATATTTTCAACAGGAAGATTAATCTACTGAAAACATTACCATTACTCACACTATCTTCAGAAATACGACTTCTATTCCTCATCATTTCCATTTTCACATCCAGCTTCCAAAATCCTTCTCAAATCCCTCCCTCTAACCATACGGCTGTTTATTTGCTCCCCGTAGAAGCAGAACTTTAGCTTTTTGCTACCCAGTCTCATCTTACTGTGGGCAGCACCCACTGCTTTTAACCTCTAGTCATTTTAGAGCTTGGGAAGGTCCCTTATGAAATTTGCCAAGCTACCAATTTGTGTGTCAGAAAATTTGATTACTGATGCCTCTACATCCATGAGGTCAACAAAATAAAACATTAACCTTCCCAGCAGGCCTTTATACACCAATCCAATATATGTGGATGTACAAAAGATATTCCTGTAGTGGAAAAAGCAATTCCAAATACAAAGCTTCAGCTGTGCTGATGTAAGATAACGCAGCAGAGCTGACTTCTTTAACAGGTGGACAGATCAAGCTCCACAGAGCATAGTATGACAGCCACTGACAAACTTAAGGCCAACTCAATTTTTTCCCTATAAAATTAAAACCTAATACCATGATGTAGGATGAGATTTTCATAAAACCCTTTAAAATAAAATAAGGGATTTAATATGACCGTGGTCCCGTCAGTTCTTATGACTGAAATTACCTTATTCTTTAAGGCACCATTTAACAACTGTTGCCTGAAAAAATTTCTAAAGAAATTTCAAACACCAGTTCAGTCATCTTCTGCTTCCTGCATCGTTAGCTCATGTTAGACAACCGTCTCTGCATAACTAGAGCCGCCCTGTATCTCTGCAGGCTTTTCCAGTGAAGCATTGCATGCCACGTTTCAAGCGAGCTAAATGTTTCTTTCCATTTCACAGAGAGGGACAGGGAAGTATACAGGGGCTAGAGAGCCTCCTCAAAGCAGCAGAGCAAACAACAGTAGGTAGGGAGACAGGACTCGGACTGTCTTGTTTTGGCCCTGAGCACTCACAACTCTACAGCCCAGCAGCAAGACAGGCAACTTGACTTATCTCAGCTGTTATTTATTTGAATTACCATACTTCCTAGCCATCTTTTTCCTATCTGGCAGCGGTCTGATCAGCAGAAAACACCCATGGTGATCAACGGGGAGTAGATTTCCGTGCCTCTTCTGAAATTATGCACAAACCACAAATAGGAAGTGAAAAACAAAGAGTTGAGTCATGCAAATGGATTATCTACGCAAACCCATCTCTTTCCTTATACAAATATAGAAGAACTATATGGTTACGTATCAACTGATCTTCCTCCCACTGGTACTGCTCAGTAGGAGAACCGTACATCATTGAGAAGAGTCCGAATGCCGCTCCTTTCAAGTCTGAGGTCTTTGAAAGGTCACTTCTCCAGAACCCAAGCTATTACTCATTTCTTCACCACATGAGTGACAAGATTTAAAAGCTTAGGTTAGGTGGAATGTCACAGTTTGAACCCTGCTTCTACCATTTCCCCTTAGCAATTTTTTTCTTAAAACTTCCACATCTTTCCTGTGAAATGTCTCCATTACCAGTTCAAAAACAGAATTTAAGGCATTTTACTGAAAAGGAGCATGTTCTTTTACTGAAGCTGTGCACACGAACTTATCCCTGTATCTTCAGTGACAAAAATGTCAAACAATGCATATTTGATCATAAGCACAACTATATAAAAGGGGTTTCTAGGCTGTTCAATGTCTACTCTGTATTTCTATTTACCAAGTCTGTTACTTTTCCTTTATTTAGCCAGTATAGAAATCATAATGCAAAATGTATGTCAGATGAGGGACAAGTAATTCTTGAAGTAAATAACTTTCAGCTCCAGTATAGCGTAGCATTACTATGAGCAAAGGATTTCTTTAAATTGCAATAACGTTATTTTACCTTTAGAAAATCTGACAGTTTCCACATGGAGGACACCAAGGGATTGGCTGGTTTTTAAGAGATCAGCAGATGCACAAATTAAAACATTACTCAGGGGAATATTACAACTTCCATGGAACAGGTAGAGAAGGACCATTTGTTAGAGTGAATCACAGAAGCTCAGTGCTGGAAATGCTCCATAATCAGGAACACATGCTCTTCAAGTGACCTCCCTCCTCACTGCTACTGGTCTGCTACCAGACTGCTGGTCAGCAGTCAATCCCTGCCGCCAAGTTGGGATGCACTGCTGGAGATGCATAAGCGCAGCTCTGCTGAAGCCATCTGACGAGAGGACGGTGGGCATGCCCTGGGAGGCAATGAGTTGCTCTGGAGCGTAACATGTCATTTCCTAGGAACTAGGTTACCTATTCCATATTCACCAGTGTCTGCCCAGCACGTGCAAGGATCACCTGGCTTCTTTACGGAAACTCTTTCCAGGGGGGGGGGGGGGGGGGGGGAGAGCACCACAAAACACACTCCTTCCTGAGGGAAATAGTGCAAGATAGCTCCCTCATCCCAGAGGAAGAGAGAGGAGAGGAACCAGCCCAAGAGCAGCACCAAAGACAAGACGCTCTGCACTGGCAGGAGTGCGGTACCTGTGGCAATCTTCCACCGCCGGGTAGCAGCTGTCCTACTGCTACAGACTGAAGGCCAGTCTGTGATAAACAGAAGAGATAAATGTTACCACATCCTAATTGACAGAGTATGTGAACTAAAGGGATCAGGATTTGCCCCCAAGACATTATCTCTTGGCAGAGAGGCAAAGCAGCACAGCTATGCTACTGGAGTAAGTGGTAGCAGGTTCAGTAACCAGTCTCGCTACCAGGAAAAACGGGTGGCAACAGCTTGTGCGTGGGGGCAAGCGCAGTGCTGCTGGGCCAAGACTGCTCGGTGGTTGGAGCTGTGCCCTCTGCAGATCCAGCTCCAGCAGTCTAATTTCCTTCAGATTTAGAAGGTTAAAGCTACAAGGCAGCAGGAGAAAAGATGGAATAGTAACTATAAAACACTATAAAATGATGCTGGTAAGACATTTTAAACTTTTTTTCTTCCTCCTCCTCTTCCTGGAAATAAACATTAGAAATGATTTTACCTTTTTAAGCCAAACCCTCTGCCACACAGGAACTTTGTCATCAGGACCAAGAAGCCACCAAAAGAATACTTACCATGCCCACACTATTTTTCGCTTTCAAAACATTCACCGGTCAAGCATTATATATAAAGGAGAGTAAATAAATGACAGTTTATTTACTAGGTTGTTAGATTTTTTGAGTCTACAGATTACCTCTACACAAGTATCACAGCAACCTTCTCACGCATATAATTAAAAACATTTTATAGAGCCTTAGGTGTATTTACCATTTAAAATCCTCATCGTCTTCAGATTGGCTTGTGTAGAAAGGGTAAAGTGACATCTCCAACAATTCAGACCAGAAATTTGCACTCGAGACTTCTGAAAGTCATTCTGGCTCAGAAGCCTTTACACAGGATTTTGGTTTGGGGGGCTTTTTAAGGAAGGAAGGAAGCGGGGGGAACCCAACTTCAGTGGCCCAACTTCAAACCTAAAACCTTGTATCTCTCTGATTCACCTACAATGATCTTGTGTTACGCAGTGAAAATACAATGAAGAGCTACCCTGCATATGTGGAAAACTGTGTGTAGAACCTAAACTACAAATACACATCATTATTCCAACTGCAATGGAACCTCCATTTCCTTTATCTTTCTCTTCATCTTTAGCCACCACACCAAAAACATACACATCAGAGTTTAAATCCAGAGCGTTTGCATGGTTTTAAAACGCGACATAGCAAATTTCCTGTTCCCCATCACAGATGCTACATCCTAAGATGAGCGCGCTGACAACACTAGGAGTTAAACACATGGAAGAGTATTCCTATCAGTTGACTGGACGGGAAGGCTGGGGGGAAGTAACAATAAACGTGCACGCCTCCCTTTTACTCTGAGAGCCTGGCACAAAATGAGTTACTTCATCACTCCTTTACATCCAGCATAAAGTACTAAATTTGTTTGGGCAGAGACTTCTTTTCCCCAAGTTTCTGCCCAAAGGGAAAATTTCGCTGAAGGAGATGCATCAGATGTGGTGAAAATAAAACCTTTTGGTTTAATGCCAGGAAGGACACCACTGTGAAATTTACTCCAAATGGAGAATGGTGTGAGGAAGTATGTTTTTAAAAAAAAAAAAACAAAAAAAAACAACGGAATTTTGAAAATTAATTTTTAAAGAGAACAGTACTCGGCTTTGAAAGAAAGTGTTTTGCAGAGGATGGGTAGAGGCCTTACTGAACTTGCTTGCATAGCTACATGACCCCTGCCAATCAATGTCAACGCTTCATTAATATTTAACTGAAAAAGTGTGAGATGATTCAAACTTCAACTGTCTGGGTAGAAGATGTTGCTAAGCAACTTTGCTGCTTGTCTGAAAATTAGTTCTCACAGCAGCAACCTTTCCTTCAAACCAGAGACCTGAGTCCACTCAAAACACTTTCCCTTCAGTTCTTAAAGAACCCAGCGAGTTACATTAAAAAAACCCCACCCCACACACAGTAGCGTCTGAAATTCCCTGCTTTGCTCACCGTAATCGCTGTCGTAGAACACGATGAATTTCTGCCACCGCAGCTCGGTGACCAGCTTGAGCATAACGTCGTTGAGGCGGACGGGGGGCCGGGCGGCCAGCGTGTACTCCTCCTCCTCCAGGCTGGGGTTCAGGTGGCAGGCGGTGCGCGGCGAGCCCCCCGTGCTGCGCTGCACAAACAGGTGCGGGATGTGCATGGCGTCCGTCAGCGACTGCAGCGCGTTGGCCGAGGCGCAGCCCGTGGACGTCACCAAGGCTAAGATCCCCAGCGTCATCAGGTCACAGGCTGCAGAAGACGAGACGGAAAGCAGGGTCAGGCCAGGCCCAAAAATTCCTTCACCCGACCTAGCTATTAAGAAGGGCTTTGCCCACAGCAGAAACAGAAAGCTGAAGTTGCTTCTGTTACTGTACCAGCTGAAGCCTTTCAGAGATTACTGGTTCTGTACCAGTAAGCACCAGTAAGAGACGGCATCTACAATCCACACAAACATGACAAAGCTGAGGAAAGACAGCGCTTTCACGGCCAGTTCCCCAGACAGGAGCTGCTGCGCGGGGAGACCGCGCCCCTTGCTTCAGGTCGTTCCACTGAACTCAGATCTCCCGAAAGCCACTTAAATGCTTTCACCTCTAAATCTCTGAAGTCTTGGGACAATAAAGAGTGATTTCAGTTTCAAGGATTTGTTTTATATAAAGTTCTAAAGGATTTTTAACTTGATGAAAAAACGTTTACCACAGGCCTCTTGGAGCAACAGTGCTCTCCTTACAACAGCAGCTCTCCTTACAACAAAGGCACGGCAGGGGCACCTGCACGCTTACTAATAACACTCGAGCTGCTGTCCTCAAAGAGATCTGGAAAAGCACACGCTGTTTAAAAACAGAGCATATACATTCGAGACCATCTGTTTCTGAGAACGCAGTATTACATAAGCCCTAACACAAGCTGCGCGCATTTGAAAACCTCCACGACGGAGACGCACGACCCTCACCGGCTGCCCAGGACGGCAGGCAACCTCTCTGCGGCTTTGTCCGCACGGAAAGCCGCGACGCTTCCCTTCACTCCACCACAAGAGACAAAATGCTATTTAGCTGTGGGCTGTAAAAACGCGTTTCCATGCCAGAGGTTCCCAGCTATGACTCCACAAGCTATTTCATCAGGGTAGTTTAAAAAACAAACCAACCAACCAGCCTCTCAGACGCTACTGCAATCTTTGCTTTTGCTATGCTTTTCCCGGTCCTCTGACTAAGCCTGTTGAGAAAGCTGAAGCAAGGGTTACCCTAAGCGAGCCCACCTCGGCCCGGCCTTGAGGGTGCCTATGACCCCCCGGCCCCTATGGGGGAAAACAGGCAGCCTGCTGTGGGGTCCAGAGGGCTGGAGCATGCATGTGGTGATCGCGGTCACCCAGGAGCCGCACGCTGCCACCCTACCTGCAACCACCACCTCTCGCCTCGCCTGCGATCCAGCCGAGCAGAAAGGTAGGAAATCGAATGTGCCACGTTAAAGGAATTTATTTACCCTCCCCCTCAACACTTTTCCTGGTATCTGCACTTCCAGGGGCCAAAAACCTGGGCAGCTTATCAATAATTAATAGTAATAAACAGTTAATTAGTACTTAATAGTAATTAAATAGAGAAAGTCACACCAATTCAATACAGAGAACTGTTTTTAATGCAACTACTGAATCATTCCACAAAATAGCTTCAGAGAAGCAGCAGAAAACAAATGCATTTCCCTTTGATATGAGGTAACAGAAAGAAAATGTTTGATCGTCTCTATGCACAGAACACTCAACACGTATCCTAATGCAAGAGTGAAAGCTGAAGTGCTTTTAAAATTATTTCCTAGATGGTCCTTATAATAAACATGTGTCAGCTGCATTACCTAAATTTGCTCGGTGTTAATTATAGATATATGAGATTGTTCTCCGTTTTGCTGAAAGCTGACCTGATTTAACAGCAGGGAGGCGTTACATTTGCCAAATGGGAGACCCAGGTTCGGCAACAGATTTGATTTCCCAGGCTTCTCGCCAGAGAAAACCGAACATGTCATACAGGTAATTTATTTAACCACAGTAGGGGAGGGAACAGCAAAGTGGAGACAGAGTGGAGAAGAGCAGAGCTGAGCCCTAAACCCCTGCAGAGATCACCTGCAACAAGCACCAACCCGCAGGGAGAACGTTTTACTTATGCAGGTAGACAGAGGAGAATCCCAAATGGCTGGTGGAATGTGGAACATAGAACTGATCACCAGTTGCATAACAAAAGATAACTTTCACTCAACAACTGACACTAAATCGAAAGCTGCTCGCTTATTTAGCAGCAACAGCGATAGGACAGCCCACAGGAACTGGGCACCCTTATCTCCCAGCACAGCCTGCAGACCACAGCTGAAACATCTCCAAAACAAAGTGTTTTTATGGTTGAGGGTTTTTCCCAGTGTTCTGCAGTTTATGTCAATGGGCTAAAATGAAAAATTAGTCAATCGGCGTCTACATCCTGATATTCTGTCAATTGATTACGCTCTGCATGAAAGCATATGCTACACGGCAAGCGTTATCCTCTCTTGCCTTTCTGTTTTGAGATAGTACAGCAGGCCATAAAAAACTGGAATGACTGTAGGCAAAATATGGTTTCATATTTTCTAAATTGCCTTCTTTAGTCAAATTGCAGAATTTGAAACAGATTGTGTTATATATTTGTAATAGAAGACTTTCACTATACAAAAATATGAGGGACTCCAAGAAGTTCAACTTCTCCACGCTTATCACACTGAAGAGTGAATAAGCTTTCAGTACGTTAAGAAGAAATGTATTACTTTCTACATGGGTAACACGGTGAGGAACAACTACAGAAGTGGAACAGACTTCAATTCATTAAAAAAAACTCATTAACTCTTAAGACTTCCTGAAATTACTTAGCAGAAGAATGTTCAAGGATTATACAATCCCAGAAGAAACTCCGGTGACTTTACTAGTGGAACAGACTTCAATTCATTAAAAAAAACTCATTAACTCTTAAGACTTCCTGAAATTACTTAGCAGAAGAATGTTCAAGGATTATACAATCCCAGAAGAAACTCCGGTGACTTTACTCTTTTTAAATTTAATTTAAAAAAAAAAGTATTTCCTCCAACCTGCCTGTACTTTCTTGCATGCAAAACTTTGTGGCTTGAGAAAAGATGTGTTTTCTGTTTCACTTCACACTAGGTAAGGATTAAAGTTTCAGTAATGATCATGCCTCCCCAGCTATGCGACATCAGTTGGACCTTCGTAAACAATTTAAAAGGATCTGCACTTTTCACATATAAATTTCATAACGCATCCTATTTCAATTTTAAGAAAACTAAGGTATAGATTAAGTGCCTTGGTTCACATCAACTCACGAACATAGGGAAGAAGAGAATCTAAACGCCCTAATCTCCAGTCATCTTTAATTACTAGAAACGTACCATATTTTGAAGTATCAAGAAATAATGTTGTTAAAGTCCTTCGAGTTCCACAGAGAAAATACACAATGTTCTAGTCATCTTGCCTCCAGATTTCACTGCTATATGAATAGCAATACTTATTAGTCCACTGTATTGAATTGCCTTCATCAATGTCAGGCTGCATTTTAAGAGGATACCAACATCCCACAAACCATACTGTAAGAAACGTGCACGTTAACATAACGATGAAAACGTGAACATCACCATACTGAAAGAATAACTCTGCATTCAAACTATCCGAGCAGATTAAATGCCTTCACTGGTAGTTATTGATCCGTCTTTGCTTCTAACAGATCATCTCTCCAGTCCTTGACTTCACTGAGGCTTCCTAAATTATTAATACAGTTTTAACTGTCTCAGTGAAGCATCTCCCCTAACATAACTCTTTTGAAATCTGTTTTCAGAAACACGCCTTTTTGCACCTGGCTGACATTCTGCATCCTGCACTGTTACTTCCATTACCAAGCTGCACAAGACCCTGCTTGCTCTCTTCTCCACCCATTGCCTCGTTTTTCCATCCAGCTCCTCCGCAAGCGACACCTTTGTCCGAGGTTCTGTTTTAGATGTTCTCTCTGCCACAACGTTGGCAGAAGCGACACAGAGAACAATACATTTTGGGGGTCTCCTCAAATCCACCAGTCTAGCTTGACTCATACATCACAGCAATACATGCTAAACTTCTTCCTCCTTCTTTGACCCACATCTCTAACTCCAGGCATATCCCCATTAAGATCACAGTAAAGCTTGGAAGTACACCTGTTGATTTTCAGACTGCACCTTTTCCCTACTGCCTTTTCTAATCTGTGGGACTCTTCATCACGTATGAAATGATGCAAGAATTATGCTTTGCTACAATCGTGTTCGAGACCTTGCTCTTCTCCAGCTGCTTCCAGTACTGTCGTCCTATTTCTGAAGGGAGGCGCTGACTGAAGTCCTGATTTAGCACCATCTTCATAGAGATATTTGCATTAAGGGATTTAGCTCAGATCTCTCCATAATTAAATCCGTAACACTCTAAATCGCAGGGAGACAAAATATTCCAAGAGAAACTGTTAACTTGCTCCTGGCAACATGATGATATGACCACCTTTCAACCTCCCATTCAGTGGTTTCCTCTTATTCAGGATAGGATAGAAACTTGTTCCTTTGTTTCCACAGTTATCAATAGACCAGCTGCTGCCGTAATTTCTTATCTAACAATATATCCACCCACTAGAATTCACCTTGCCTCTTCAAACTTCAGTGCCTTTCTATTGCTCGCTTCTGTGTATCCCTATAGCTGGTCCTACCCACTCTGGACCACATCTGATCATATCTGATAAATCCTCTCTGATTTTTATTTGACTTTTTTTCTTTTTCTGTTTGACTAACCCTTAGAAGCTCTTTACAGTATAGCAAATGGAGGAGCATTCTATGCAAACAACTTGCATTTTACAGTTTTTCAAATGAAAGAAGAGAACTTCAGATCTGCCAGAAGAAAGAAAATCCAGACACACTATTTCTGGTGTAGTACTCTGCAAAGAAATGATTAACAAAGTTGGCACTTAAGTGCTTGTGATCAGGTTTCAAAGCTAGTATCCTACTGAGATGAGATGAGGGACTTTACACTTGCCTTAGCACTATCGTCGCAATCAATCTGGCTGAAAACTCCTTTTTCATGTAGTTTATCGCTGGAAACCAGAAGGAAAAAAAAAACCACTAAAAAACATTTCATTCTTAAGTAAAACATCGAATTCAAGAGAACGCAGCAAATTCTGAGAAAAATCTATGCTGGGAAACTAAACCCTAATATCTGATGGGAT